AAAACTTTCCTCCTTGGTCTACAGAAATTCGCTTTGAGCGCCGCTCTGACAGAAGTGGGTCAGTTGAGATGCTAACAATAGGAAGATGTGTATAAGAGACAGGTTTAGTACGCACTTTAGGCATGGAAAGTGAGTCGGCATTTCTGAGGGAGAAACCACTCTCTTCAGATCCTAATTTTGGTAACCAGTCACGGAATTCATTAGACTTCATTAGGGAAATAGCAAAAGTGTAACAAATATTGTCCCGTCTCTTTCTTAGCTCCTCGATATTACACTCAACAAGAGCCGAATTATAGGATGAGTATTTAATCCCTAATATTATCCTACAGGCTCTTTTCTCGATGCGTTCTAGAGCAAGATGCTGCATTTGTGTAAGGCCTGGATGCCATACCGGCACTGCATATTCGAGCAAGGGTCGAACAAATCCAGTATAAATAGTAATTAAATATTGAACAGATAAACCAAACCGTCTTAAAGTACTAATTATAAATAAACGACTACTTGCACGCTTAAGAATATCACCAATGTGGGCGTCCCATTTTAGATCACTGGTAATTTTTACACCAAGTATTTTGAGCATGTTTACACGTAGAAGCTCTCGTCCACATAATTTCAGTGGTAGAAACGGAGATGGGGTTTTCACAAAGGTAATATCCATATACATGCATTTGGTTGGGTTGAGGGTCATGTGGTTGACCTCAGCCCATTTGCAAAAATCGTCCAACTTAATCTGCATGCTACTACATTGATTATTGAATGTATTTTCAACTATCATAAGGTCATTAACATATTTTAATGACATTTTATTACCAGAATCAATTCTAGCTGCATCATGAACTAGACACATAAAGATTACTGGGCCACTAAGGGTTCCTTGTGGGACACCCCCAAAAATGTTTTTTCCGATTAGACAGAGTGTTTCAATATCTAACACACTGTAGACGGTTGGATAAAAAACTACACATCCATGGAATTAATGCAGGTTTAGCACCCATATCTAATAACTTAGGAATAGCGATATTGTGGTCTGCTCGGTCGAAAGCTTTACAAAAGTCCGTAACAATTAGTCGTGAAAGGCTTTTCTGCAAATCGGCATGTTTGATAACGTTGTTTACTAGCTTAATCAAATAATGGCAGGAAGATCTACCTTTTCTGTTCCAAATTGGCTGATCTACCTTTTCTGTTTCCAAATTGACTGTTGTCGATTTGTGGGTTTATATCTTTAATTAACCAGTCATTAATAAAGGCTTCGGCCACTTTAGAAAATTGGTCGGTAAGAGATACTGGCCGCAATTGATTCCAGATAGGGGGATTGGATTTTGGCAGAAGGACAACGATTGCACGTTTCCACTGGGGTGGAACAATTCCTTCTTTAAATGACGTGTTCAAAATATCCGTTAAAGGTTTGCTCAATTCATAAGAAAACTCACGTATGACCCTTGCCGGCAAACCGTCTGGACCACTTGCCTTTTTTAGACCGATTTTTGATAATTTATAGTAAACTTCCCAAGGGAAAACCTCTGGCAACACTTTGGCGGCTGGCAAAAATGCAGGTAAATTGGAAATGTTCAAAGGGGCGATGTCGTTGCCAAATTGAGATAAAGTGATTATTAATAGTGTTCGCCACATCCTTAAAGTTGGTTTGGTCAACATCGGGTGGGGGGATTATACAAGTAAGAGGTTCCTTAGTCGTCGTCATCACTCTAATTTGGCGGTACCATTCGGGGGGATTAGATTTCTTGTGTCTCTCAACTCTATGTTTGTAATACTCGTACTTGTCATTCCTTATTGAACGCTGAACTTTGTTTCGATAAAACTTCCATAAAGGTGGTTTTGACGGCTGAAAAACATGTTGTCGTCGGCGAATTACATCTTTAGCTTTGGCAGATATCCATGGTGTATCTGTAATGTGTTGCTTAATCTTAATTATAGGGAAGTACAGGTTCATATGTTCATTGAGAATTCTATAAAATAAGTTAGCTTTTTACACTGTATGAGATGCTTGGAAAACGTCAGACCAGTCATGAGCAACTATCCATGATCCAAATTGACGAATCCCAGAATCCTTAATTGGGCGAACCGTGCGGATTATATTTGGGCACTTTTTGGCCGTGTAGTTATTGAGCCATACAACTGTTGAATGGTCACGTAAACCGATTGGCGACCCTATAGTCGGACGTGTATACAGCTTATCTAAGTTCGTTAAAATCTTGTCTAATCTTGTTGGGAGATCTACTATTTGAATCGGATCGTTATCCTTGCATAACTGAGTAACATCTAGTCTGTTAAAATCTCGTAGGATGCATATTCCAAAATTCATGTATCTGCTACGCAAGGAATCAAGAGTATCTTGAATATGGTTAAGCATATGTAGTTGTAGGTGTGGGTTGGGAAAATAAACAGCACCTACAATGATTGAAGTAATCGAACGTGGGAGCCTGTGTGGTCTTATTTGAATCCATAATGTTTCCAGATCATTGTCATTGTTTGGTACATTTAAAGTTCTAGCATTAATATCTTG